AGCAGTTTATATTAAATAGCAGGCAGAATGGTAGTATTCCATTACGAACATATTAGTTAAATTTGGAATAGCATGCTACCATACGACATAATATTTTTGTCATATAAAATTATAAATAGTATAGTAGTATGAGTAGTATAGTAGTATGCTATTTTGAATTTAAACATTGTTTTTGAAAAATAGTAGTCCATCCCGATCATATTGGCTAAATTCGGAATTGCATACAGTATAGTATTGCTATTTCTGCCATATTATATAGGAGAAAGAGTAAGAGCGGTATAATAAATAGTGTAAAATATTAGGCAGTCAACAGTATAAACTGCCCAGTATGCTAGTATTACATTTAAAAAATAGTATGCTGTGTACAGTATCTACTGCCCAGAATGCTAGTATTCAGTTCTGAACATATTGGTTGAATTCAGAATAACATACTAGCATACAAGTCTTACAATTTCTGATTTATAAAGATACGGAAGAAATAGTAAGCATAGTATGGTAGTATGCTATTTCGAATTTGGACATTATTTTGGGGAAAATAGTAGACGGTGTACAGTATATAGCAAGCAGAATGGTAGTACTCCATTACAAATATGTCATTTTTAAAAATTAGTAGTCAGTCTACACTATATAATGCACAGTATGCTAATATTCCATTCCGAATATATTGGTTGTATTCAGAATAGCTTACTAGCATAAGACTCTTACTTTTTCTCCCACATAAATATGTTATGCTATTTTAAATTTAGACATTGTTTATTTTGGAAAATAGTATGCATTATACATTATATAGCAAGCAACACGCTAGTATTCCATTACAAACATATTGTTTTAGGATGGAAAATAGTAGGCAGTGTACAGTATATACTGCGCAGTAAGCTAATATTCCAATCCAAACATACTGGCTGAATTCAGGATAGCATACTAACTAACATACTGCTCCTTACTATTTCTTACTACTACTCTTCCATATAATGATATAGTAGAAATGGTAAGAATAGTATGAATGATAATATGATATTTTGAATTTAGACATTGATTTTTGTAAAATAGTGGGCTGTGTACAGTATATACTGCCCAGTATGCTAGTATTCCATTCTGAACATTGGTTGAATTCACAATGGCATACTAGCATACGACTCTTGCTATTTCTGCTTTATAAATATATGGGAGAAATAGCAAGAGTAGTATGCAATTTTGAATTTAGACATTATTTTTGTAAAATACTAGGGAGTGTACAGTATATACTGTGCACTATGCTGATATTCTATTTAGAACATATTGGTTGTCTGGCATACTAGCATACTACTTTTACTATTTCTGCCATATGAATGTGTATTTTTAATGGACGTTCAAATTTAGCCATTGTTATTTTGGAAAATAGCACGTTAGTAGTCATATTGTTTTAGGAAGGCTAATATAAGGCAGTGTACAGTACATACTGCGTAGTATGCTAATATTCCATTCAGATCTACTGTATATGTTTTTGGAAAATAATAGGCAGTGTAAATTATATAGCGAACAGAATGGTAGTATTCCATTCTAAACATGTCATTTTAGGAAAATACTAGGCAGTGTACTGTATATATATCATTACGACCAAGTATTTTTTTTGTATTTTGGAAAATAGTAGGCAGGGAACAGTATATACTGCGCAGTGTACTTGTATTCCATTCTAAATTTAGGTAATGTTTAACAATTTCTGTACTCATGCATTCATTCTTCTTTGTTTTCTCTCTGACATTTTAGAGCATTGATTCAGACCATGTTGGAGCGCTGTGACCGGTTTCTGTGGTCTCAGCAAGCGTAAGACCTCTATGTCCACATGATCTCCACATATGCCTCCAGGACCCAGCGCTGCTCTCAGTATGGACACACTACAGCCTGCCTTCTGTAGTTTGGGTCATGTTTCTTTAAAACAGCTGCTCTGGGATCAGCTGCCTTGCTGAAGATAATATGGCAGATTAGCTGATTTCAGATTGTGATGCATTCCAGTCAATCTAATGCAGATTCCAATTCATCGTTTTTTTTTTCACACCGGCACTATGACTATATTGTGCCGTAAATGGTGAAAGCACTGCGTGGGAATCACATGACTTGGTCTAAACTGTTCTTCAGTATTTTGTCTCCTGTTTCCTATTTAGCTATTTAATAAGGTGCTGCTGACACAGTATTAACAATGGGCTCTTTTACGTCATTCATAAATCCATTTGCACATAAATTTTCCTATTGAATTGAATTCAACAATTTATGTATGAATGCTTTGATCTACACTTCCATGTTTATTAATGAGGCCCAATGTGTTTTCATGTGGTTTTAGGACTATGTATAATATACAGTATATCCCTTTAAAAAAAAAAACATAGATACATAGAGTATATATTAGTGCATCCAAAATAAAAGTTTTTGATTACATAAGATATGTGTGTGTATTGTGTATATTTATTATGTATATATAAATACATACACATACAGCATATATTTTGAAAATATTTACATGTATATATTTATATTCATATCATTTATATCATATATAAATATATTTAATATATAAACATAACATATTTTTCTTAAATATGTACATGCATGTGTGTGTATTTATATATACATAATAGATATACACAGCACACACACATACATTATGTAAACAAAAACTTTTATTTTGAATGCGATTAATCGTTTGAAATCGTTTGAC